CCACGCCTGTAATTGGGACTGACACTATATGTCGCTGGGCAAAAGAAAAATCTGAAATAAATCCTGTTTGTGTGTTTTGCTTCTACAGGTGGACATACAACGACTTCTTCAGCCGGTATCGTGTGTTGATGCGCAAGTCGGACATGTCATGCCCAGACAAGAAGTTAGTGTGTCAGAAGCTGTTGGAGACCCTCATCAAGGTGAGAAGCTACAAAAAAATGCCCTCACTTCCATCGGCACGCTAACGAGCCCACGCCACTCAACTGGAGAATCGCCAACAAATTCCAGTTGCACGCCTTGCCCACTCACTGAAACGCCGCCACCACCCCTCGAGATACAAATCCAATTTGTTCTCTGGCCACGCTCGCTTCGAAAAGCATCTTTCTCCATTGAGAGAATGCGGGGAAATTCTAATCTGGTCTTTCATAACAAAAATAGCGTTCTATAGTATTGTACCGTTACTAAAAAAAAAATGCCATTTTCATTTACCACAAATGGTGGTGAAATAGCCTGAAGTACACTCTTTACATGACAGTCAGGATGCAAACGTGCTTAACGGGTAGATACAAACAGCTTGACAGCGACCATTGTTTTGTTTGACTGATGAATGGATTGATTGATGGATTCTTGTGGGCGGGCCAGGAAGGCGACATGTTCCAGTTGGGAAAAAGCAAGATCTTCTTCCGGGCGGGTCAGGTGGCCTATTTGGAGAAGTTGCGCGCCGACAAGTTCCGCGCCGCCTGCATCACCGTCCAGAAGACGGTGCGCGGATGGCTGCAGAAGGTCCGCTACCAGAAGATCCGCAAATCTGTCATTTTGCTGCAGAGATACGGGCGAGGATACCTGGCGCGCAGGTCAGTCCACGCTCCCATCCTCGAACGTCGTCATATTCGTAAACCTTGTTTTCATTTCTGTCGTCTGCTGATAATCTTACATCCAATGACCTCTGACCGCAGATACGCGGAATACTTGCGCCTGACACGCGCCGCCGTGGTGTGCCAAAAGAACTACCGCATGGCCAGAGAGCGTCGCGCCTTCCTGAACGTGCGCTGGGCCACCGTCACCATCCAGGCCTTTGCGCGAGGGATGTTCACACGCAGGATCTACCAGGAGGTAAACACACCCATGGATGCATGTGCTACAAACAAAACACAAGAGTGAGTACAAACAACAACAACAAAATATGAGTCCACTTTGAGTGAGAGTCACCAAACATGTCAACAAATAAGTGAGTTGCTTGTGAATGAGGTCACGGCAACATGAAAGCATGCGCTTTTGGGTGCTTTGGGTGGACAAAAGGAGCGTTTGTGAGCAGGTGGGCCTGACGTTGTCCATTTGGCCAGCCACGCCATGCCATGTCATGCCTTCTCCTGCCTGTTTCCAGTTCTTGCTGCACCACAAGGCGCTGATCATCCAGAAGTGCGTCCGCGGCTGGCTGCAGAGGCTCAAGTACCAGCGGATGTGGCGGGCCGCCGTGGTGCTGCAGTGCGCCTACAGGCGCTCTCGGGCGCTGCGCCATTTCAAGACGCTCAAGACGGAGGCGCGCTCGACCAAAGGCCTGAAGAAGCTCAACACGGGCATGGAGAACAAGATTGTACAGCTACAGAGGAAGATGGACGACCAGGTACCGTCACGCGTCTGCATACGCGCATTGACATTTCTTGACATACCCACGGTTGACAAATGTTAATGACATCCCTTGCGTATCACTACATCTATTTTAAGATATTCAAAATGAACAATTTTTTCCTCTGATGTGCAGGGAAAGGAGTACCGCGACCAGAATGAGCAGCTCCTGCGCGCCAATACCACCCTCGGCACAGAGCTCAGTCGCGTCCAGCAGCAGCTGCAGCACCTGCAGCAGGCGCGCAGCCAGCAGGGAAGCGCCACTCAGCTGACGGCGATGCGGGCCGAGCTGGAGGCGCTTGGCGTGCAGCTGGACGAGGCCCAGGCCCAGAAGAGCCAGATGGAGGAGCAGCACCGTACCGAGAAGCTGGTGCTTACTCAGGTGAGAGCGTTGTAGGAACGCTCGCAAAAAAAAAAAAAAAAAGAAAGACAAAAACACTGCTCGTAATCCGCCGTGTGATCGAGCCACGCGTCTTTCTCGGCAGAGGGTGGCTGAGCTGGAGAAGGAAAACGCACTGCTCAAGAGCCAAAAGGAAGAACTCAACCAGAAGATCAAACAACAGTCGAGCCGCGCCCAAGGTCAGCCAATTGCACCGCGGTACACCGGCCCGTCGTGGGTGAGACGATTGCACAGTACGGGCTGTTCACAGCCGGCGTATTGCATGTGTGTTTGTGTGTGTACGCACGCAGAGGATGTGGGAAGCGCGTTGCTGCGCGCCGAGATGGACGCCGAGCGACGTCGCTACCAAAACCTCCTGAAAGAATATTCCAGACTGGAGCAGAGATACGACAACTTGAAGGAAGAAGTTTCTCTCGGCAAGGTTGGATTTTTTTTGTCGCTTCCTTTTGGACAAAGGACACGTTTGACTTTTGCGCAGTTCCAGATGGGCCACCACCGAACCTCATCCAATCAGAGCAGCCTGGAGTCGGACTCTAACTACACGTCCATCTCCACCTCGGAGGCGGGAGACGCCGACGACGCCCTGCAGCTGGTCGAGGTCTGTGTGACGTGCGTGTGTGTGTGTGTTGGAATGTGCATGTGCACTTTCGTGATGCTTGTGTGCATGTCGCTCCCGCAGGAGATGGGCGCCGACAAGGCGGCCATGGACATCAGCATCTTCGTCAAGCTTCAGAAGCGCGTGCGAGACTTAGAACATGAGAGGAAGCGGCTGCAGGCCAGCCTGGACAAAGTCGACGAAGCAGCCAGAAACAAGGTTAGCGCGTTAGCACCGTTTGCTCATTGGAATGGAAAAAAATATGACGAAAGACAAAGGGGAAAAAGTCAGGGTTCTCATACGAAGCAGCCAGAAACAAGGTTAGCGCGTTAGCACGTTAGCACCGTTGGAATGGAAAAAAAATATCACTAAAGACAAAGGGGAAAAAGTCAGAGTTCTCAAGTTGGGTCCTGTAGATTCACCTTTTCACATTTTTTTTTCTCCAGTATATCTATTAGTACTGCAACTAACGATTATTTTCATAATCCATTAATCTGTCAGATTTTTTTTTTTTTTTTTTTAATATGACATGGCCGGTCTGTCCATTTGAAAAATCATATGAACTGTCCCCCAACCGAATGCTACTTCCAGAACTGCGAGGAGGAGACATTTTTTTTTAATATGACATGGCCGGTCTGTCCATTTGTCCCAATGCTACTTCCAGAACTGCGAGGAGGAGACAGCCAAGCGTCTCAAGAGCGCTGCTGACGCAGAGCAGGAGGCAGCAGACTTGGCCTACAATAGCCTGAAGGTACTATAAACTCAATATATATATATTTTTTCTCAAAATGTCTTTTGTGACGTATCAACCGGCCGTCCGCAGCGTCAGGAGCTCGAGTGGGAGAACCAGCAGCTAAAGAACGATCTCAACGAGTTGCGTCGCAGCGTAGGCGAACGGGCGGCGGACACCGACGCCTCCAAGCAGCTGCGCGATGGCTACGACATCCTGATGAGTCAACTGAAGGCAGCCACCGAGGAGCTGGACGCGCGCAAGGAGGAAGTGGTCATACTCAGGACGCAGATCGTCAGCGCCGCGCAGCAACACGACAACAACAAACACGCGCAGGTGTGTGGATGGAGGTGTCCAGCGGGTGGCGCTGTGTGTTCATCGTGTGGTGTTTTTGTGTTTCAGGAGAACGAGAGCGTGGATGAAGTTGACATGGGGACTCTACCTTCGGACAAAGACCAGGCTCTGATGGTCTACCAGCAAGTGTGCCAGTCCAAAAAGTAGGTTGACCTCATTCTGTATCCAGCTGCGCTTCTTCGCTAAGCCCCGCCCGCACGCTTCCTGTCCCTAACATCTCAGCCCTCTCGTTGTCAGCCTGCTTGCCTCTTTCTCTGACGCCTCTTCCTCTTTCTCCGACGTCACTTCCTGGCCCGAGTCCGACTGGGCCGAGCTGAACGAGGACGGAGAAGTTTTGCTGGCATACGCCGGTCTCAAACAAGTCACCAGGTTGCCATTTGCTCCTGTTTCTTCTCCTCCTCCTCCCTGTTCTTGTTCTGCTTCTTCTCATGCTGGTGGGGACCTGCCGTGGTCCGCATTTCTCCCCCTGGTGGCGCCTTTGAGTGTCTGCACCATCCTCAGTGGTTTTAGTTTTTTTTTTTTTTTTGCGGGTTAGACTCCTCGAGTGCGAGCTTCAGTCTCAGGCACGCCAACATGGCGAGGAGGTGGAGGCGCTGCGGGCCGAGGTGGAGACGCTGAAGGAGGACGTGGAGAAGAAGCAGGAGGCGCTCAACTACACGACGTCCTTGTCGCCGGAGGCCCTGCTGGAGTACAGCGTGCAGCTGGAGATCACCAGGCTCACGAACGACAACCTGGTCAGTGCAACGCAAATGTTGCACTCGCCACGTAACGCCACCTTGTGGAACGGCTCATGTAGCTTGTGTGAGCGTGTGCCCTGGCATGCGCATACGTTGTAGTGTGTATGTGTGCGATAGGCGTTTGCATGTTGGCTGTGCGTGTGACGTGTGATGTTCCTCGCGCAGGACCTGAAGGAGCTGGTGGAGAAACTGGAGAAGAACGAGCGCAAGCTAAAGAAACAGCTGAGGATCTACATGAAGAAGGTCCAGGAGCTGGAAGGTAAAGCAGGACACGCGACCCATCGCCATCACCACGACAGTAACGTACTCCCTTGTCACGGTGCCTGTTCTCAGTGAGTCACAGCAGCAGTCGCGCCAGGTCCGACTTGGGTCGCCACGTGACCCTTCAACGCAAGGAGAAAGACTTTGAGGGCATGCTGGAGTATGATCAGGAAGACGAAGTGATGCTCATCAAAACGCTCATCACAGGTCACACGTCGCTTCCTCTTTGGGTGGATGGCCCGATTGGCCGATACTCTTTATTTCTTAATCGGCCAGTTTATGTCAAACACATGACTTGACAGCTGTAATGGATATAGTAAGAAAAGAATGGAGAACGTTCCCTAAACAACATGACATTTTAGGGTAATGACCCCCCCCCCACTTAGCGCCCCCTGGTGTCCTGCATGTGTTTTACAGATATGCGTCCTAGCATGTTGTCGGGGACAGTCCCGTGTCTTCCGGCGTACATCCTCTTCATGTGCGTCCGCCACGCTGATTACGTCAACGACGACCGCAAGGTGGAGTCTCTGCTCACCGCCCTGTGCACTGCCCTCAACTCCCAGCAGGTGCCCCCCGACCCCCACGAATGCCCACCAGCCCCAGTCAATCAAGGCGACTGACGCTCTCCTCCTCCTTTGCGCTTGCCCACTATCAACGCCATCAAGCGCGTCCTCAAGGTGAGGGCCACACACACACACACACGTGTCTGGCATGACGCTTTCCCGCTCCCACGCCACTATCAACGCCATCAAGCGCGTCCTCAAGGTGAGAGCCCCACACACACACACACACACACACACGTGTCTGGCGTGACGCTTTCCCGCTCCCACATCTGAGCTGACATCCTCGTTGTGTGCAGAGGAACGAAGACTTTGAGACGACTTCCTTCTGGCTGGCCAACACCAGCCGACTCCTGCACTGCCTCAAACAGTACAGCGGCGACGAGGTGACGGCAACGCCGCGTTCGAACGTTGACGCCATCTTGACACTTTGACGTTGACTGCCCAAGAAGTTGAACCGTGTGTGTTGTGCGTTAGGCGTTCATGGTTCAGAATACGTCAAAGCAGAACGAGCACTGCCTGAAGAACTTCGACCTGGCCGAGTACCGACAAGTCCTCAGCGACCTGTCCATTCAGATCTACCAGCAGCTCATACGCATCGCCGAGGCCACCATACAGCCCATGATTGGTCAGTACTTATTCGACTTCCTGAACGATTGTCCCTCAGTCAAGCTAACAGCGGCCATCTTACGTTGCCACTCGCTAAGCCCGCCGACCTTGAATATGTCGATTTCGCCACAGCATTTTTTGAATGCTGAGTCCAAAAATTACAACTGCATCTTTGTATTCTTGGATCATGTTTCAATGAGAAAGCCAAAGCAACGGACCCAAAGAAATGAGCGCGGTTATATAGTCGATTGTCAAAATTGTGCTTGTTGAAGCCTGTTGTTGGGACCCTTTTCTCTTGTCTCATCTCGTGCGGCACGTCAGTCTCGGCCATGTTGGAGAGCGAGAGCATCCCGAGCCTGGCGGGGGTCAAGCCCGCCGGCTATCGGAACCGTTCATCCAGCGTGGACAAGGACGGGAGCGCCGGCAATCCAGCCGGCGGCTACACGCTACAGGCGCTCATCCGCCAGCTGGGCCTCTTTGACGGTGTCATGCGCGACCACGGCCTGGACCCCGAGATCGCCGGCCAGGTGGTCCGCCAGCTCTTCCACTGCGTCAACGCCATCACGCTCAACAACATCCTGCTGCGCAAGGACGTCTGCTCCTGGAGCACCGGCATGCAGCTCAGGTTTGCCAAAGAGAGGGCGCGCGCGTGTGTGTGAGATATGCTTTGAGTGTGTTGACTGGCGTTAGTGCGTGTGCAGGTACAACACGAGCCAGATGGAGGAGTGGCTGCGTGCTAACAAGTTGTACCAGACGGGGGCAGCGCAGGCACTCTGTCCCATCATTCAAGTTGCTCAGCTGCTGCAAGTCAAGAAGAAAACCTCGCAGGACGCCGACGCCATCTGCTCACTGTGCACTGCCCTCAACTCCCAGCAGGTGCCCCCCGACCCCCACGAATGCCCACCAGCCCCAGTCAATCAAGGCGACTGACGCTCTCCTCCTCCTTTGCGCTTGCCTGCAGATCGTCAAGATCCTCAACTTGTATACGCCGCTCAATGAGTTTGAAGAGCGCGTCACCGTATCCTTCATCAGGAACATACAGGTGACACACACACAAACACTGAAAATACGTGTGAGAGTCTTTGTTAGTGGCGTGAGAGTTTGTGACTTGGCAGTGAGCATGAGAGCGCGCGCGTGTAACGGAACGTGTCCATGCAGAAGCAACTCCAGGAGTGCGAAGCGGCTGGCGCCACTCAGGAGGGGGGCGTGGCCAAGGAAGCCCCCCAGCTGCTGGTGGACACCAAGCAGACGCTGCCGCTGCTCTTCCCGTACGCGCCGTCCTCGCTGGGCCTGGAGACACTCCACATTCCCGCTTCGCTGGGACTCCACTTCCTGGTCAGGGTCTGACCTCACATCTCCGCCAGCGGGAGGTGACCATTATTTATATGGACGGATTTCAACGTGAAGAGTTTGGTTGACCTTGATCACAAGTCAACGTTTGTACTCATTTTGTAAAATACATTCAGTTTGAAACAAGACGTTCCTTTCGCAACTGAATTTATTTGTTACGGAAGGACGTTGTCATGATATCAACATATTCCCTTCTGTTTTTTTTTCATTTCAGCCAAATATTCCACTACCTCGCGGGATCAAAAAGTATTCGATTCATGATTTCTGCCCTTCGGTCAACTTGCCCCCAGAGATGGTGCACTATTCAATCAATCATTAAGTCCACTGCACTATGTCAACGTCAATCCTAAAGTAGATCTTTGGGCATATCCTAGTCAATCATATCACAATTCCTAATGCGCAAATTTTAGATGGATCATTTCAGCCATCGAATCAACTAGTCCAGTGGGCTGCAGTCCACGATGTAGTCAGTCCACTGTAGAATAATCCTGACGCTGACTGGAGTGCATTGGATGAATGGCGTCAGTTCATTTGGAAGTCGGCCACCTCACCTGAATGAAAATGCGTTTGTAACGATCGGGGAATGGGCAACGATGAACTGCGTTGGCAATCATTCCCGACTCCACAATCACTACATGGGGATTTCTAGTAGTCTTTTTTGGAACTCCAGGTCCACTCCTTCGAAGAAAAAAAAAAATCCCTGCGCCGGTGAATAGTCGGAATTTCAGAGCTTCCACGCATTCCTCATCATAAGGATGAAGAAAGCGTCGTTGTCGATGGAGGCGCTGACGCCGCAGTAGTAGTTGATGAACTCTTCATGCGTCACCTGCGGGAGGGGAAAACGGCAGCAGCTCGTAAATTCAAAAACAATTAGCGCTGAGTCAAAATAGCACCGAGGGGAAAACGGCAGCAGCTCGTAAATTCAAAAACAGAATTAGCGCCAAGTCAAAATAGCACCACTAGTGTTAATGTACATTTTTCCCTGGGCACAAAAAGTTCCACAACATCTGTTATCTGCGTTTCCTACCTTCCCGTCTTTGTCGTATGGCGAGTCAAAGTTGTCAAGGAAAGTCCTAAACACCTGCTCCTCGCTCCATTCGCCGTTTTGGTATTTGGGGTGATATTTGGCATTGTAGACCCCCCTAAGGTCATCAACGGTGATCACGCCATCTTTGGTCTTGTCCAGTTTGTGGAAGGCCTGCATGACCACGTCTCTGCGGGCCTTGGACATGGCGGGCTGCCAAGGACAGATCACCATCAGTCGCAAGAGAGCGAAGCGGCATTGGGGACATGCTCGGCATGGCGTGTTTACCCGTAGCGTGATTAGGAACTCGTCAAAGTCGATGGAGCCGTTACCATCGCGGTCAAAGCGCTGGAAGATGGCCACCGCTTCCTCTTTGTCCATCAGGAGGCCGTATTCGTGGATGCCTTTCAGGAACTCCTTCAAGTCCAAGGAGCGGTTGGCGTCATCGTCCATGATCCGGAACACTCTGAGGGACAAAGTAAAACAAATCCAGTGAAGAGGGACAACCGGAGAGTGTGCACATGCTCCTCAAAACCAAAGCTAATTTTTTTCGGCTAAAAACACCTTACTATTCACAAGGGTGTCAAACTCAGGTCCTGGATGGCCGCTGTCCCGCATGTTTTCCAAGTCTCCCTGTTCCAACACACCTGATTCAAATGATCAGATCATCAGCAAGCTCTGCGGAAGCCTGACATTGAACCTGTTCATTTGAATCAGGTGTGTTGCAACAGGGAGCCTTGGAAAACATGCAGGACAGCGGCCCTCCAGGACCTGAGTTTGACACCCCTGCGATAAGTGGATCATAAATGGCTGTCTGGTTATTATTTTTCGCAAAGTAACGATTTGAAATATAATTTTAACCAAATTAAAGTGAATATTTTACGCTATTTAAAAAAAAAAACATTGTGACCCTTTGTCAGTTTTAACATTAAAACTAATGTTTTACGAAATTTAAAATACACACCGTGACCTTTTGTTTGTTTGAAAATACACTTTATTTTTTGTATTGGATGGGACAACTTGTTTGACTTAAAAACAACCGCACACGTCTCACCTTCCGAGACCTTTGATGCCAGCTGAGCCTCTGGCCAGACACTGGAGGCGGAGTCTCTCGAGTGGATCGGAACATGACGTCAGCTGCCGTTTGGCGTTGATCGCCATCTCTCGGTCGTGTCTGGAAGTTCCTGCCATCTGTGACGCCACCACGAACGATGTCTGTTTAACCCCGCCCACCACCGCTCCTCTTGCTTTTCTGCAGTAAAGTTCTTGTCACTGCCCCCCCCCCAAAAAAAAATATTTCAATTAAAAGTCAACAAATGTCGCTGTCAATCGCACAAACAGGATGATGTCTTTCCGACACATCCAAGTATTCCCAAAGCAAAACTACAGAACCAGAACCTGCGAGTTGAGGATCCTGCGTGTTTTGTTTTCTTTCCTTTGCAAAACATTTAGTTGTTCTGACCCTACTGGACTCACCTGTCACTCAACACACACCGGAAGCGCCTCCCGCGGAGGGGAAATCTCCCAACACCCTAAAAAAACACGACGAACGGGCGCGTGAAATGTGAGTACAAGAGTTGCCTGAAACGCCGCTGTAGCCACGGAAACGTCCCCCGCCCCCTTGAATTGCTCGTTTGGAACGATCGCTGATTGTACTGTCAAGAAGCGCCAGTCATGAAGGCCAGGTGCAGTGTGACCAATCGCGCTTCTGTTTTGCTTGAGCAACGCCCTGTGGATGTCTTGCTCGGAGAACTAGCGCTGATTGGACATCGTACAAACGTTAACCCTTTAAAACCCTTAACTCAACCGTAACACTTCAAAACAACCACCGCTGAATACAAAGTGCTGTACATGGAGCAAAAATAATGCATACAACAGCAAACAATACATTTAATTCCGACTTTGAAACAACGTGAAACCCTACTTTAAAACCTGAACTCTATCTTGACAGCTTCTTTTTCTCAGGCTGCAAGTCCCTCCTACGGCGCAACAGTCCGGTTGTGTAAATCCAAATGCATGTCTGGATGGAGGCTTCTTCAGGACTACTTGTGGGTTGGCACGAAAGTAAGACACCATCTCATTGGATGAGGCGCGAGCGGGAGCTCAAAGGCGTTTGAAGCAAGAACATGGCGAGAGACAACGCTCGTTAGCGGCCAACCATTCATTGACCCGATTTATTGACCGCACAAAGGACAAACTACATCCATAAATATTGCCTATAAATATCCGATCATACAACAGCTTGTGTGGCACATGGACAAAAGAACGAGGGACAGCAGATCCAAACTTCTCATCTGTTAGCACGTGTCCACGTTTAACGTCATTCGAGAAGCGGAACGTCTCGACTTCACCGACGTCCTCGGCGGGACCTGCAGAGGAGGTCCCGGCAGACGGGGGTCCGAGTCCAGTGGAAAGGGGTCGGGTCGCCGCTCTGCTGGGAGACGCCACCCGCGGGGTGGTGCCGTCTTCGGGTTCAAACGTCGTCGAAGATGCGGCTGCGAGATGACGACATGGACAGGTAGCGTCCGCCCGTCGGTCTGGACCGCAACATAAACAACAACCAGGGGCCGTAAAGAGTAAAAATTCTGCATAACTAAGGCCTGTTACACCCCCCCAACCCCCCCCCAAAAAAGTTCTTGACAAAAATAGGGCTAATGCGTTTACCTCCCTGGATCGCGATCGTCTGCGTCGTCCGCTAACGAATCGGCGGTGAAGTCCAGAGGTTCTTGGTCCTGGAGAAGCTCTATGCGGTCGCGGTCAGCTCGATTGGCAGAACGGCCAAACTTGCCCGCTGGACACAAAAAGCGCATGGCGGCGTCAACGCTAACTGGGCGACGCAAGCTAACGGCTGCTTTTCCCCATCGGTCATCATCAACAACGCTAAAGAGAAAGCTCCACAGAAAGTCATTCCTTCACGTCAGAGAAACCTTTGGAATGCATCAGCGGGATCTGAAGTGCCATTTTTTTTTTTTTTGCTGCTCTGAAGCTTGGACACATTACCACACGGAAAACCGTAAAGCGTCCAATCCAAACATCTGTAGCGTTCGAATCAAACGATCTGGAAAACGGAGCCAAAGTGAGCAAATGAGGCCGCTAACGAATCGGCGGTGAAGTCCAGAGGTTCTTGGTCCTGGAGAAGCTCTATGCGGTCGCGGTCAGCTCGATTGGCAGAATGGCCAAACTTGCCCGCTGGACACAAAAAGCGCATGGCGGCGTCAACGCTAACTGGGCGACGCAAGCTAACGGCTGCTTTTCCCCATCGGTCATCATCAACAACGCTAAAGAGAAAGCTCCACAGAAAGTCATTCCTTCACGTCAGAGAAACCTTTGGAATGCATCAGCGGGATCTGAAGTGCCATTTTTTTTTTTTTTGCTGCTCTGAAGCTTGGACACATTCACACATCGAAAACCAGTAAGCGTCCAATTCCAACATCTGTAGCGTTCTGAATCAAACGATCTGGAAAACGGAGCCAAAGTGAGCAAATGAGTGCTGACATCTGTTGTTGGCGCCATCCGAGTAGCTGGTCTCCTTCATTTCGTGGCTGTTCCTCCCCCTGGCGCTCAGCTCCTCCCTTGCGTTGCCGTAGCGCTCCTTCCACTCCTGAAACACACGCACGGCCACCCCCCCCCCGCCGTCAGAGCCACGAATTCGAGGCCACTCTCTGACCTTCAGGCGGCGTTGACTCACGCGTCGTCTGTTCTCGCCGTCTTCCGTCCTCTGGCGCTTTCGCTTCTCTGCGGGCACACAGACACACTGGGGTGACGGCTCACTGTGGCACGAGCGCGCTAAGCATCGGCAACGGCGGAGTGGCACGACACCGACCTCGGCGAATCAGCTCCTTGCCCTCGTCCACCAGGTCCGACGTCAGCTCGCTGTCGCCCATGAACTGCTGGAAGCCGAGTAGGTTGAGCAGGCGGGTGCCCAGGCTGAGCGCATACAGGAGACCCCGTATCATCTCTGACATCGCCATTTGGCAGGAGCGTCTTCATTTGACACGTGGTACATAACAGTCGAGTGTGGTTACCTGAAGTAGGTGGCGATGCACAAGATGACGATGAGCATGGGGTAGTAGATGTAGAAGCCGTCAGCCACAAAGGACAGCACGCGCATGGAGCCCATGATCTGCCAGACAGGAAGTAGAGGTGAAGGCCGCCGCCCACGCAGGAAGGAACGTAACGGAAGGGCGGCTTACGGAGGTGTAGGCCGTCTGCTCTTTGTGCTGGTGCGAGATGGCAGCGTCCATGTGGATGAGACCCAGGAAGTTGAGGCACAGCGGCGGCGTCAGGCGGCAGAAGAGCCTAAAGGGCATGGCTGCCAAGTCAGAGATGACCTCAGGGCGGGGGGGGTTGAAGGTTCGGGTTGCTCACATGCCGCTGAACTGCAGGCTGTACGCGTCCGTCTGGTGATGCGGCGCCAGGTAGTAGAAGTTGAAGACGCAGATGCGGAACACGGTGGAGTAGACGCAAGTGCACAGGAAGAAGATGGTGATGAAGCACGCCACCTGGTGGACACGCACAGCGCAGCAGCTAGCAGACAAGGTAGCAGGTGAGACGGGATTGTGTCCGGCACACAGAGGTTTGCGACGACGGTAAAAAGCGGGCTCCATCGTAGGTTTCAGGTTCACCTTTTTACCTCTACCGCCCATTTTTGGGGTGTAATTCCTCTGTCAGCCACTAAATGGTGGCACATTGTCGTATTTAAAGTGCCGCATAATTTTTGCTGAAGACGACTGCATGTCGAATGCTCTTCAATCCTGCTTTTTCTGCCTACAGAAGCCGATGGCTGCTGGCTAGCTAGCTAGCCAGCAGACGACTTGGCTTCTCACCTGGATGTAGACGTAGTTGTAGTCGCGTTCGGCCAGCTGGATGAAGACGGCGAAGAGCGACAGGACGGGTTTGGTGCTGAAGAAGGTGCACTCGGACCAGACCACGGCAACGCTGAACAGCGCCAGGACCACGGCCAGAGCGCGGTAGAAGCCGCGCTTCAGCAGGCACTCCCAGTACCACTCTTAAGACAAGTAAGTTGGACTTTTTGTTTATCGCGGCTTGCTTGGAACGGCTCCCCGGCCGGTCTCCAGGAGTGGATGCGCGTTCACCCGAAGGGTTTGCTAACTGCGCGGTGGGGAGAGATGCGGACCTGCAGTGGGCGTGTACACGTATCTGCAGAACCACCCCGGGGGCTCGGCGGGGGGGAAGCTGCGGACGAAGCGCCGCGAGGAGCTGCTCTCGTTCTTGGCCACGTCCTCCAGGTGGAAGGCTTCCTGCAGCAGCATGTGCCACTGCACGCGCGTGCGCTTCTGCCGTTGAACGGCGTAGATCACCTGCACGCGGAAACACGTCAACGCGGCGCCCGAGCTGCGCGTCGGCCGCTTCCTTGTTACCTGCTTGTGCAGCTTGACCAGACTCCTCTCGCTGGGGAACGTCTGCTTGTCCTCAAAGTCCTCGTAGTCGTCCATGTTGCGGCCCAACTTGTCCTGGTAGTCCGTCGGGCACTAAGGGGGCGGGGCCCGGGTCGGACAGGTGAGGGAAGGCGGCGGCGGCGGTGTCACGGCATAGACGCGACTCACCTTCCTGAGGATGGTGTCGACGCACTTTCTCAGAGGATGGTTGTACTTGATGGCCTCGCTCACTTTTCTCACCTCCTGGCAACAGTGCACGAGTCACAATTAGGGAAGGGAAAAAAAAGGGGGAAAGTTCGAGAATTTTTCTGAGGGAATGTTGACCGTACATTTCCGAAAGAATTTTACATGAGGGATTTGGCGAATGTTCCAAATTGGACTCTTGATTTGGGAATTGACTGGGAAATGTATCATTCGCGCATACTTCTAAACAATTCTTTTGATCAGAAGCAGACATTAGTCTAATCTGGACATTCATTCACCTCCATGACGTCCTCCAGGTTCTCCTCAGCGTCCGCCTTCTCCGTCATGAGCTTGGAGGCCTTGAAGTAGGTCTTGAGGAGCATGTGTCCGTGTCTGGAGGCATTCCAGTAAGAGCGCGGGATCTCCACCAGGCCGTAGCCCAGCAGCAAAACCAGCAGGAACAAACCCCAAGTGTTGGCCGCCGTGATGCCGATGGTCTGCAGCTGGTACCTGATGATCACCGAACACGTGAGCTAGGATTCGCCGAGATGCGACGGCTGGAAACACCAACTGGGAGTCAGGCTCTGACCAGGACAGGTGCCAATCGGGATGGACGGCCACGTAGATGAGCAGCGAGCCGAAAATGAGCAGGTAGGTTCCGTAGTAGATGGCGTTCTCGATGAGGGCCGTCTGAACCTTCCCGGCCATGGAGAAACCACCCGAGCGTGCGTACGACTGCATGAATGGCAGCAGCAACCTGGGTGACATCAGCACAGCGTCCGTCATCGCGGGCCGATCGGCGGGGGCCCCCCCCCGGCCCACGCGCGCGGCCCCCCC